ACACACACACACACACACACACACACACACACACACACACACACACACACACACACACAATAACCTTTTCTCGCTCTCGCCAAACATGAAGTCTCTGAATGTGAGTGTTGTTATGATGAACAGAATCTGGTAACCATGGAGACAGAATGTTTGTGCGTGGTCATATTCATATTCATATTCATAACGCCTGAGCAGGTCAAGGAGAGAGTGAGAGCAAACAAACACAGGACTGAAGCAGCAGCAGATCTGTGTGTGTGTGTGTGTGTGAGAGAGAGAGAGAGAGAGAGAGAGAGAGAGCCTGCTGGACAAGATCAGATCAGACACACTTCAACTTCAGCTCACTGGTGAATTTTAGACCTTATTCATTAATTAGTATGAATTAATATTAATGAAGACAAAACTAAAATGTCTTGATAAAAAAAAAACAACAGCAAAATGACAATAACAATTTCTAATGTTTGAAGTGTTGAAGAGAATCAAAGAAGTGAGTGAGTGTGATGTGTGGAGGGTTAAACAGTGTGTTAGGTGTTATCCTACTGAAACACTCCAGATATAACCTGTTTGATTACTGTTTGATTTTGGCATTGATGGGGACATAACAGCAGATAACAGACATTTAATTGTTTGATCAAAGTTATTTATTAGTGTCTGATATAGGATCATGTCACAGCGTCTCTACTAAATTCTACACCCTTCAACATCATAACAAGCGATGTCCGACTTAAACTATAGTAATTGACAATAAAGCAGACTTGACTTGACTTGACTTGACTTATGTGACTAATGTGACTTTTCTTTCTGTTTTAAAGATGTTTTATTTGGATTGTTTGACTACTCAAAAGTGAATATAGGAAAATATAATTAATTTGTAACCACAAATTAACCATGGTTTTACTACACTAACAGTTGAATGGTATTTGTAGTAAAACTGTGGTTATAAAAAACAAAACAAAACAAAAACATGCTACACTTTTACAATAATAAAACCATGGTTAATTTTATCAAGGTAGGTTATTTGTATTTGTGTAGGCTATACTTTTTTCTTTCTTTTTTCTTTAAGTTTTTATATGTGTACTACCTTAATGGTTTGATGCTTTGTACTGTTTAATAAAAAAAAATAAAAAAAAGATTCATGATATGCTCCGAAGTCCCAATCTGAATCAAATTATTCCCAAAACACGCTCCGATCTGAAACAATTGATTCGCGAAACCCAATCCGAAGTCCCGATCTGAATCAAATGATGTATGATTCAAAGCATGTCTGAAGCATACATTGAAAAAACACCAACAACACGTTGGCCGGCGACAGCCATGACGTCACTACTGGTGTGACTATAGTATAAATAGGCGCCGGGAGCACACATCATCCACTTCTTCGTCCGAAGCATGGCAAGAAACCTAGAGGACGCAGTGTCTCGTTCCCTACTCAGGGAACCATGGTTACATACGTAACCTGAGATTTTTGTCTCTTCTGAGGAAGATTCATTCACTTGTTTGCCAAAGAACCACACAGAGACATTTGCTCAGATTTATTTAATGTCTTGTGACATTATGTACAATGACTACTGTCCAGTTGCACTTACCCCCATCCTCATGAAGTGCTTTGAACGGCTAGTCATGCACCACATCAAGTCTGCCC